ATAATCTTATATATAGAAAGTCTTATGGAATCCACTGATAAACTAACAAAACTAACAACTTCAGCAAGGTTGCAGGATACAAGATCAATAAACAAAAATCAACTATATTTCTATACACTTGCAATGAACAATCTGAATAAGAAAATTAAGAAAACAATCCTACTTATAATAGTATCGAAAAGAACAAAATATTTAGAAATAAATTTAATAAGGGAAGTACAAAATTGATACGCTGAAAACTGCAAACCATTATTGAAAGAAATTAAAGAAGATGCAATTAAATGGAAAAAAGATCCCATGTTCATGAATTGAAAATTTTAATATTGTTAAAATGGCAACACTTCCTAAATTGATCTACAGATTCAATACAATCCCTTTCATAACCCCAGCTGATTTCTTTGTACAAATTGACAAGCTGATTCTAAAATTCATATGCATTGCAAGGGACCCTAATAGCCAAAACAATCTTGGAAAATAATAAAGTAGGAGGACTCATGTTTCCTGATTTCAAAATTGCTTCAAAGCAATGGTAATCAAGACAGTGTGATACTGGCACATGATAGACATATAGGTCAATAGGACTGAATTGAGAGTCCAGAAGTAAAACCATGTGTCAGCTGATTTTTGATGAGGGTGCCAAGACCATTCACTGGGAAAAATAAAATAGTCCTTTCACAAACAGTTCTGGACCAACTAGATAGCCACTTGCAAACTAACGAAATGAGACCCTTACCTCACACCATATACAAAAAAATTAACTAGAAATAGATCAGAGACCTAAATGTAAGAGCTAAAATGATAAAACTCAGGGAAAAAACCCATAGGGATAAATCTTCATGAACTTGGATATGGCAAAGGATTCTTAGATATGACACCAAAGTAATGAGCAGAAAATGAAAAAAACATTGAATTTCATCAAAACTAAAATTTTTAGGGCATCAAAGTATACCATCAGGAAAGTTAAAATATAACCCACAGAATGGGAGAAAACATGTACAAATCATGTATCTGATAAGGGACTTGTATCCAGAGTATATACAAACTCTTACAACTCAATAATAAAAAGGCAAATATCCCAATTAAAAAATGGGCAAAGGATTTGAATAGACATTTCTCCAAGTAAGATATACAAGTGGCCAATAAGCACATGAAGAGATGCTCAATATCATTAACAATCAGAGAAATGCAAATCAAAACCACAGTAAGATACCCTTTCACCTCTGCTAAAATGGCTACAGTCAAAAAGTCAGAAAATAAAAAGTGTTGTCAAGGACATGGGGAAATTGGAACCCTTACACACTGCTGATGGAAAGGTATAATGGCCAGTTAGTTTAGAAAATAGTATGGCAGTTCCTGAAACAATTAAGCATAGAGTTACTGTATGACCCAGCAATTCAATTCCTAGATATCTACCCAAGAGAAAAAAGAACATATGTCCTTACAAAACTTGTACACAAATGTTCATAGCAGCATTACCCATAACAAGAAAAAGATGAAAACAGCCCAAATATCCACCAATGGACTAATGAATAAACAAATGTGGCATATCCATACAATAGAATGTTGTTCTGCCATAAAAAGAAATGAATACTTGGTACACAATGGGCGAACCTTGAAAACATAAGCTAAGTGAAAAAAGCCAGTAACAAAAGACCACACTTTATGAGTACATTCTGATGAAATGTCCAGGGATAAGGAAATCTATAGAGACAGAAAGTAGATTAATGTTTACTTAGGGCTGGGGGGATAGAGGTGTAGGGGGTGGGGTCATAGGTAAGGTATGGTGTTTCTTTTTGACTTGAAAATGTTCTAAAATTGACTGTGGTGATAGCTGCACATAACTGTGAATATATTAAAACCATTGAATTTTACACTTTAGGTGGGTGAATTGTATGGTATGTGAATTATATCTCAATAAAGCTGTTAAAAAAAAAAAGAAGTAACATGTATTCTGGGATAAATGAGTAGGAGTTATCCAGGCTAAGTGCATGAGGAGTGGTTGAGAGAAAGTTTCAGGCAGGAAAAACTATGGGAACAAAGACCAGGGCTTGAAAGTGCATGGAGCTTTAAGGAAATGATGGGAATCCATTTAGCACAGTGTTGCTGTTGTTGTTAATATTTATTAAATACCAACTGTTGCAGAGCAGAGATTAGGAATGAGGGCTTTGACCATAGGCAGGCATTCCATTTAACAGCTGGGTGACCTTGGCTTGAGACATGTAATCTCTCTAAGCCTCACTTCCTTTTCTATTAAATAGTAGGTTAATGATATAACACCTGGAAAAGGACTCAGAATTCATGCAAGGGGAGAAGGACTTTGTATAACTCCAAGAAACTATTTTGACAGTTACAATGCAAGGATAATAGAATTATCTATTAGGAGAAATTTTTTTTTAAAATAATCATTTCTTAAACAATCAGATAGCAGGAGGCCTGGTGAGATATCAAAATGTCACTTGAAAAGACATAATCCCTCCCTTCAGTGAGCTAATGGGCTTTATCTTGGTATTTGTGGATATGTGTATCTATGTGTGTGTATATATTATACTGTACCTCCTGTCCTTCATTTTTCTTTTAATAATGCATGGTGAACATGTGGTACGTATGGATCTACCTCACTTTTTTTTTTTTTTTTTTGCGGTACGCGGGCCTCTCACTGTTGTGGCCTCTCCCGTTGCGGAGCACAGGCTCCAGGCGCGCAGGCTCAGTGGCCATGGCTCACGGGCCCAGCCGCTCCGCGGCATGTGGGATCTTCCTGGACCGGGGCACGAACCCGTGTCCCCTGCACCGGCAGGCGGACTCTCAACCACTGCGCCACCAGGGAAGCCCCTACCTCATTCTTTTAAATAGATTCTTTACCCACACTATATTGAAAATATTAAGGGGGGTGTTTAGGTAAAATATTTGAATAGACATTTCTCAAAGTAAGATGTATAAATGGCCAATAGTACATGAAAAGATGCTCCATACCCAACTAAATTATGCAGCTGTTTTTGCTAAGGCTCTTGCAAAACGTTGGTGTCAAAATATCAAATAATTGCTTTTGGATACCATTATGTGTCAAAGGTTCCCCCTCTCTCAAAACTTTCCCTGTAGAGGGGACAGACCAGCTTTCCTCTTAGCTCTTGGCTTTTCCTTTTATAGAGGCAGTGGCGATTACATGTATATGGGATCTGAGGTTGCCTTACAAACACACACAATCCTGTCAGTTTTTCAGTGAAAAATTTCACATAAGACTACTCCTGTCATTAGCACCTTGATAAATCCATTGGTTTTGCTCCTCTACTTCTTTAATTTTGTGTGTCATGGTAGCTATGTCTTTAAAGTTCCTCATAGATTAGTTACTTTTAGTTTCTTCGTTGTTCTTTTCATTGAGTTAATTAGGATTCATTCAAAATCCTATGTATTTAAGCAAAAACTAGAAAGAGTTACAAATTCCCTGTTTACAGTCTACAGTACAATGAATTATCTGCTTTAACTTGGAATTATAAATCAAAATTTGTGATATTAGGAAAGGCTTACCATTCACATTAAGATTTACTGCACAGAGAAAAGTGTTACTGGGAGAGGCAATCCACCTTGGGTCCTGAGCATCCCTGCATGTTCTTATTGGGTACACCAAGAATGTAAGGCCCTGACCACTCTTTATGCAGGCAGTCCATTTCGCAGAGTTGTCTTTGCAGAAAGCAACTTTGAGGGATGAGGTAACGTCTTTCCCTGGACACAGAGCAGGCTTGCTTTTGCTTACTATGAAAGCAGTGAATTCCCCAAACTCAGGTATCTTTCCTAAAACACAGTGCACTGCATGTGTAGGCATCCAAGGGACTTGAGGATAATCGGGAACTGATATAAACCAATATGAAGCCGTTGCTACTGCTTTTACCATGAGTAATAATGTCCTTAGTCTCTGATCAGGATTCTAGTGTCTTCTGACATAGCAAAAGCAGGTTAAACAGTAGCAGGTTAATGTTAACTTGTTAATTTGTAAGTAGGGTAAAATCTCAGACTGCACACTTCTTGACAGGTGTTTCCAGATGTTATTCCCTAAATCAATTATGCTAGGGCAATGTTTCCCACTAGGATGATTTTTGCCATATCTATATACCACCTTTGCTGTTAACATTGTGTTCTACTTCATGTTTGTCTTCAAACAGACTCATTTAATTTGAATATTTTTGAGAAGGAAATTTGAGTACTTTTTTGAAAAGGAAACTTTATAACACCACCCTAAATCTAAACTATCATTTGCCTTAAAGAGAGTATTCATTAATACACATTCAAATAAATATCAATACATGAATATTACAACTTAAAATATTTGTGTATTACCTGAAATCATCTCCACCTACCACCAGGCCCTTCTACTTTAATCCCAAGTTATCTGATTGCATCTAGAGTAGTCATGGCTGGGACAAAAACTATCACAACTAATGTTTTTAGTTAGTGACTTTTGAAATCTTTTCTTTAAAAGTTATATTCTTTCCTTTAAAAGTTCCCATCAAGCCCCCTTGTGAAGGAAAAAAGGGGTAAAGGAAGTCCAGTGCTCTGACCTGCAATGGGGACAGTCCTTGTCCTCCATGTATGTATGTCCAGGACAGCCTGGCCTTCAGCCTAGAAGAGTCTGGTGCCTGCTGCAGGCTGGAACACAGAAACCAAAGTCAGACAACCCTGGAGAGGGGTGTGCCTTGGGGGAGCCCTTCCACATCCTGCCCCAGCTCCACCCGTCAGAGTGCCAGGGGGTTGGATTCATACCATCCTATAAAAGTGGCACAGTAGGTCTTTGGACCCCCATCTCACTTCAGCCAGAATCCAGACCAACCAGCATCCATCAGACTGTTGCAACCTTGAAGAATAGTCTGGAGAGATTAATTGCCCCAAAAAGAGCATCACAGAGGAAAAATAATATACAACTGGCACAACTGTGAGCCACATATACATATATAGATACATATATAGTTATGAAGATTTGGATGCAGATATACATACACAGTAAGTCTTACACAGCACTTCATACATTTCCAAGTAAGCATGGGAATATCCCGAAATCTTACTTGAACCTCCCTTTAAAAATTTACACAGGTCTAAGGGTATCTTTTGAGCTGGTGAGGAGGGCCTGCCACCAGTCTTTTGGGAGAGATTGCTCACCCTAAGGAAATAAGAGTCAGGAAGATAAAACCAATCTTTAGGCTCATAAGCAACTCTGACTAAAGCATAATGTCTGTTACTCAGTCTTATCTTCTGGTCCCACCCCCAAAGAGACCCATTGTGTCCGAATCTTATGCGGAAGAGGGGGTCTGTGATTAAAATCCCAAAGTTGCCAAGGTATCAATAAGATATCACAGCCCAAGTGGCCCTGCATAAATGTCTATCTAAATTTAAGAGATGGGTGTTTCCCCTACTTCTGTAGAGGTCAGACTGGAGAGTCAGTCCATTGGGGGTTCCAAAGAAATATGTTGGGCTTCACTATTTGAGATTTCTAACACATCAGCAGTGTTAGGGGCCTGAGAAGTACAGAACCTGAATGAAGGGGCAGAAATACCCAATACACATGGTAGTATCAAGGGGAGGAGGATGGAAGGTTAGGCAGGCACAGCAGGAGAGAAACACAAACGTAGTGCCCACCTAACAGTTGTCTGGATTTGTTCTTAAGCACAGGTGAGAACTACTTTCTCCCTCCAAAATACCTGAAATAAATCTCTTAGGAGTTGGGATCCTGCATGAGCAGATGGGAACAAAAGCTTGTCAAATACAGTTCACAGTCACTACCTTGTTTGGTCCTCATAAGATCCCTGAAAGTTCTTTATTATCTCTATTTTGCAGATGAGAAAAGATGTAAAATTTATTCTCCTAGCTAAGTGGTCTGGTGGTAATTTGGAGTTTACATTTGCTTCTAAAACTCTGCCATTAAATATTGTGTCCCAATGCCTTTAGAAATATACTCAGTACTGTTGTTTACTCCTTTTTTTAAATAAAGCTTTTATTATTTTTAACAATAATGTGTGTACATTCTAGGAATAAGGAAAAATACAAATAAGCTGAATAAAAAAATCACTCATAATTCTACCACTGACTGTACTTTGTCTTTCATCCTTCACATGTTCTTCTGTGCATATATGTGATATATAAGTGTACTCTTCCCTTTCAAAAATATGATATTCACATATTACTTAGTAACTTTTTTCATTTTATATCCTGCCAGGAACCTCTTTTTGTACAAATGAGTAAAGTTCTCTTATTAAAAGGCAAAGACTTGTAGATTGCTTTGAAGTAAAATAAACAATGAGATGCATCTAAAACCACTAATAGCAACAAGTTAAAAGTAGAAAGATGGACAAAGGTGTATTGGGAAAATTCAAATCAAAAGAAAGTAATGTTAACATCAGAAAAAATAAAAATCAAGGTAAACTACATTAAATAGGGGTAAGGATGGTTTCGATTAACCTTCCAACGCATCACTATAAGTTTGTTTCTTACTCTCCTTATCTCGTCTAATTCATTCACTTCTCTAAACATATCTTCCTTGCTTAAATGCCTGTTGTGTATATCTTCTTTAAATTCCTGGAGAGACTGAATCAGCCTTTCTCTAAAAGTTCCTTCTGTTTTTTCCTCCTCCTCTGGCTCTTCCTCCTCCTCTGGCTTTTCCTCAGGCTTTGGCTCTTCCTCAAGTTTTGGTTCACTCTCATTTTCTGGTTTTCCTTCAATCTTTTGACAGGGTGTCATCTTGTATCTGTCTCTCTTCCTCCTGTTCCCTCTTCCTTTCTTTTTTTCTGCTTATTCTTCTTTGAAAACAACTACTTCTAGGAAATAAGAAGGCGACATTAAGTCAAAAGTTTGGTGAACGGACCAGTGCTCTGGACACAGGTCTCTGTATTTGCTTTTTGTGATTCAGAGCTATCACCAAATATTTTCCACTTGGGAGACTCAGTCTGCCATCTGGGTTTCCCCAAGCCTGCTGCTCCTACCCCCACTTTCCACCTCCTCACCTCCCTCGTCCCTCCCTCCAGCCTTTTCCAAGGCTCTCCTCAACCATTTCTCCCGTCACAAGGCATAACGCAAGACCCTCCTAGAACAGAGTAGGCTGGGAGAAGGGGGTGCGGGGAAGAACAGGGGCCGACAACCTCAGTCCCTCCTTTGCCCACCTCCACCCCAGGGGTCTTTATATTTCCTTCACCTACCCGTACCGATTCGGTCAGTTTCTTCCTCGCCTTTTCTAGCCCTGCGTACTGCTATGAACAACAGACCTGCAGACCTGCGGACAAACGGGAAACGGGAGGGGGAGGGGGGAGGGGGGAAGGGGGGGTGGGGCGAGCGCTCAGTGGGCCGACCAGCACCACGCACTTTTCTCATTAAGGTTCTCGGTTATGGAAACTTTCCCACCTTCTTATTCCCGCATTTGTCCCCCTCTCCACAGTGCAAGTTAAGTCGAATTTTCCATCAGACAGGGAGTAGGAAAAGCAGATTATTTCCAAACTATCTTTAAGACTGAGGGGGGCGGTTGGGGGGTGGGTAGGTGTTGGGAAAGCGGTCTGAGGTGGCAGAGGATGATTATTTTCAAACTCTCACAGGTCTCCCTGTCCTTCTCCCGGGACCCCTAGTCCCTTTCCCAAGGGTCACCATTTCCTGCAGACCTGGAGGTGGGAGGTGGAGAGATGGAATTGACCAGGGCTCCCTCAAGTCTCTACTCTAGGCCACCACACCCTAGAAATTCCCAGACAGCACCTATTTTGCCACCAACCTGCAAAATTCCGGCAAGCTGACTCCTTCTCCTTCTCCTAGCCTCAGGCCCCACCGGCTGCGCTGCTGAAGCAAGCTGGTACCCAGACGGGAACAAGGACCAGACTAGCAGGACTTCTGCACACGTCGACTCCTGGTCACGTGATATCTACGTCACCGGTGAGCTCGGGTCCCCAATTTCCACTCCCACCAAAAGCGCGGCAGAAGTGGGCCGGCCCTCTGCCCCCTACCCCCTTATACATTTGGCCCTTTCCATCCCAGAGGGGGAAAATGTTATTTGCCTTTCTCTGATTTCTAGGGAGGGGCTGCATCCTTTTCTGGAGCTACTAAACTTTTCTACTTTTTTCAAGAATTGTCTTTTCCTGCCTTCTGCTCCCAGGATTAAGAACTCCAACCTACATCCATCGCCCCTCCCCCAGCCTCCATTTCATCTGCAATCTAGTCCTTGGCTGTTGTGGAGCAGGGTTGGTTTGGCAGCAGGTTGTTTAAAAAAAAAAAAAGGATGGTGGGGGAAGCCTGGGACAGGAGTAAGATTTTTAATGTAGTTTTTTACTTTATTCTTAATACTTTTCTATATTTTTTGAAAAGTAACTGAAAAAAACACAATTCAGCTGAGTAAATGTGAAGAGCTAATTGGCTTTATACAGCAATTCATGAACAGGGCAGCAACCCATCCAGCAGCTAGAAGGGCGCTCCCACGGGTTGTACAAAATGGAGGGTTTTTATAGGCAGGAGAGTGGGGAAAGGGAGCTATTAGCAAAATAAAAGAAAGGATTATTTTTAGGCCAGGACAACTTTTTGGGGGGCGAGGGGAGAGGAAGGGAGCAGCAAGGGTTTTATCATGCAGATTGCTTCTTCCTTCTCTGGGAGATGGAGGAGCCTATGCCACAGATTACCTTACTGTTGCTTGACCAGAAAATTCCAGACTGGTTGATTTAAGATTACATTTCTGTGAGAGGTTGAAATTGCAATTAGGTCAGGTATTAAATCTAGGTTTGGTATCATAGGCTTTAGCACAAGAGATGTGGTTTGGGGCCTGTGGTTTTCTTTTTAACAAATTTTTATCTTTTTATAGTCAGAAAAGACAAAGACAGAATTACTTTAGTTAAGTGAGGCAGTATGTGTACAGTCCTGAGAATAGTGCCTGGCATATGGTAAGTGCTTTAAAAGTACAAACTATTATTATAATTGTATTAGGATTTCGTTTGGGGAGAAGGATTCAAAATGACAAAAAGTAATGTCTGACTCCAGAGTCTTGGTGGTGGTATTTGCCAAGAAGTAATTGGTTTGGTCCTCTAGATGCCCTCTTCCCCAGGTAGTGAAGAGTCGATGGGGCAAGAAGATGTGATTACTTGGAAACTTCACTTCTATCCTTCTAAACCACATTCTAGATACCTAGGACCCTAGAATATCCTGCCCAAAGCACCTGGAGCCCAAATGCAAGACTTGCTCATGCCTCTTCTCCAGATCTATCCTCCTGATAGTGACCCACATCCCCTTTGGGTTCACGCTAGGGTTGGAGTAGATGATACAGCTGTAAAGGCAGAACCCCCTTCATATGAGGCCATTTGGAGAAAGGGCTAAAGGAAAGGGTGTACTGCCAGGCCAATAGGAGCTCAGAGAAGGCAAAGGCCAATTAGCCCAAAATAGCCAGAGGAAGCCTCATGGAGGTAAAAGACCTTGACCTGGGCCTCACAGGCTGGGTAAGACCTAGATAGAGGGGGGAAGGAAAGAGGAGACCAGTCTGACTGAACCTAGGCCCTGTGGCCTTACCATTACCCTGGCCTGTCTCATGCTGCCTTGCTGGGTCAAGTCCACTCGTTCCTCCTTAAGGGTTATTTGTCTCTTGATGGTGGCTATTGTCTGAAAGCAGGTTCAGTGCAAGCACTTTTTGACAAGCTCTGCACTACCCCCAAGGACTTTCTCCCTTATTTCCAGGTTACAGAATCTGAATTGGTCAACCTTTATGGATAGTTCTTAGGCAGTTGCTAAATACTTAAATATGCATTCCCTTTGAGCCTGTAAATCCATTCTTAGGCATTCACCCTGAGGAAATATTTAACAGTAGTCACAATGATTTACAACAACATGGTTAGTTTGTAGACCTGAATTCCTGGCATCAATCCTTTGAGTTGGACCTGAATATGCAAAGAGAAGCCACAGGTGAAAGGCAGCAATGAAGGAAAGAGAATTATTCTAGGAAATGACATGTGCCCAAGCATGTACATATGCACCTGCACATTCACACGTGTGTATGCATTCTCATAAACCAACGATTCTCCCAGATGATTTTGCTACAAGTTAAAGAAGGCAAACTTCATAATTCTGTTAAAACAATTCGAACTGCACCAACAGTATGTACCATTTAGAAATGGAGAATGACTATTAGGATATTCACATGCACTTTTGAGAATATAAAATAATATATGAATGTGACCTAAACTTATTGTGGTGATCATTTCGCAATATATACAAATATTGAATCACTGTGTTGTACACCTGAAACTAATATAGTGTTGTCTGTCATTTATACCTCAATTTAAAAAGTAAAAGTACAAGCAAGATGCAAAAATAATAAAAGATAGAATAAAATAGTGCATTTCTGGAGGTCATTTTGGCAATATTTAACCTTAAAATATATGTGCTTTTGGACACATCACTTCCTCTTCTAGTGTTTTATCATGCTGAAATACTCCCATGCCAAATATGGTCAATGTTGTAGTTGTGGTAATAGATTTTTTTAAAGGAAAAAACTAAATATTCCTAAAAGGAGATTGGTTTAAGAAAAGTTTGATAATTCACTAATGCAATACTATGCAGTGATGAAAAATAATAATGTGGAGTTATATTTACTCACATGAAAAAATGTCCAACATATATTGTTAAGAAAGAAGAAAAATTGAAGGTTAATATATGTGGTAGTACATGTTTGTCACAGCATACATATATTTATTTTTGTGTATTTGAAATATAAGTAAATAAAGAAATTCTACCATAGCATGATTAGTAAAGTCCACAAAATTCATTCCTGTAAAATTCTGGGTTATATTATTGAGAGATGAATGAAATTACTGATGTGAGCCTATTTGGTTAGCTCGCTACACAACCCAAGTCCATTAGAGACTCGCTGTGTTTTGATGGCACCTCATAACAGTTGTTTACTCAGCACTCAAGCTTAAACATCATCCTTACGTTTTCCCCTTTCCCCATGCCCATCGCCAATCATGTTATATCCAGTGTCAACTTGCTGTGGAGTCTTCCTGTGTTTCTCTATCATATTAGAAATTTGAATGAATATATACTGAACTATTCCGATAGGATATATTTGAAATGAGTAGTCAATATAAAAGGAACTTTTCCTTTCTAAGTGTTGCATTTATATATTAAAAATTTATCTTTAATAGGCATGCATTAATTAATAACATTCAAAAAATGATTGAGATAAAACTTTGAAAACATGCAGAAGAAATAAAATATCTGAGAAATATAAGATAGTCATGTATATATATAGAAATGAAAGTGTTTTATAATATATTGGTAGGTGAAAAAAACAGATTATAAATGGTAAACTGCAGAAGGTCCCATTAAAAAATAATATATATGAGTAGATATTTATATGTATACACCAAAATATTAGAAGTGGGTATGATTGGGTGATCGGTGGGCATATAGGTGATTTATATATTATTTTATATACTTCTTTGTAGATTCTTCTACATTTTCTCAGTGGGTATGTGTAAATTCTATAATAAAGAATAGTCTGCAAACAGTATGACCTTATCTTATGACACACATTTCGCATATGTACTTCTCTGTAGCGGAGCAGAATTTGATTCAAGGCCTCCACTACCTGTTTGAGGTGTAGGGTCCTTGCAATATTTGGATGCCTCACATTTGCTTCCCTTGCCCCATTAGTGACTAGTATCCATTAAAACAAGGCTCTCCTCCCCATGCTCTGACTATGCCTCCCTCCAATTCAAGTTTGAGATAATCAAGCTGTAGTACTAGTCATACATTAGACAGGAGGTATCTCTTTCCAAATTTTACCCTGTGAGAAATCATTTCTTTAGGAATTTTTTTTGCTAAAAGTAATATTGTTGGCACTAATATAATATTTTAAGCAGATTATAAAATAGTCTTAGTTACCAATTCAATGCTTTTAAAAATATATATGAATAGAGCAAGAAAGGATTGTATTTCTGGCTCTGCTCGACAAATGGCATTTATGTATAGTTCCTTGACTTTTTTTCAGTGAAAATGTTTTACTTTTGCAAATAAAGGCAACAAATACTATTTAAAAGCAGGTTATAAAACAATGTGTATAAAATTATTCCAGTTATATTTAAAAACACACACAGAAGGAAAGAAAACCCTCAAAATCTACACTCAATTTCATTTATTTCATGACTCTCAAACATACATTATTCCCTAAGGAAATATTTCTAAAAGTGAAATTGCTAGGTCTAAAAGTCTGAAAAATCTTATGATTTTTTTTATGTGTATTGCCTAAAGGGCCAGCAAGATAATTCAACAAATTTACACGTGTACTTACAGCCCATGTGGATGTTCTCATATAAAATGGATGGTGTTTTTTCTTTTTTAAAATTCCGCAATTTGACAAGGGAATAAGAATACCTTGAAGTTTTAATTTGTATATATATTTTTTAAGAAGTAAAACTTTCTTATTCATAGATGACATGATTGCCAATTTAGAAAATCCTACAGTCTACAAAAAAGTCACCAGGGGGCTTCCCTGGTGGCGCAGTGGTTGAGAGTCTGCCTGCCGATGCAGGGGACACAGGTTCGTGCCCCGGTCTGGGAAGATCCCACATGCCGTGGAGCAGCTAGGCCCGTGAGTCATGGCCGCTGAGCCTGCGCATCCGGAGCCTGTGCCTCTCCCACAGCAGTGGGAGGCCTGCGTACAGCAAAAAAAAAAAAAAAAAAAAAGTCACCAGAACTAATGAGTACAGTAGACCTGTAGATAGGATATCAATTATATTTCTAAATACTGAAGCTGAATAACTTACACTTATTTTCCAGATAGATGTCTTCTTTGGTCAATACCCTACTGATGTCTTTTCACCAGTTCTCAGGCAGTGATAACTACTGTTGTTTTGTTGATT